GCTCCATCTATTTATCACTTCCTTCCTTCTCCATAGACCTTGGCAACCACTGGTCCTTTTACTATCTCTATGTAGCATTGCCTTTTCTAGAATGTCAGGTTGTTGAAACTATACAGAACGTAATCTTTTCCAACTGGCTTCTTTCACTTAGCAATGTGCATATATTTTTTTTTTTTGGTGACTTGATGGCTTATTTCTTTTTTGCTGCCAAATCACATTCCCTTGTTAGGATGTACCATTGTTTGGCTATCCATTTGCCTAGTGAAAGGCATCTTGGTTGTTCCAACTTATGAATAAAGCTGCTACATAAACATCTGCATGCACTTTTTTCATATTTTTATTGGTACATAATATTTGTAAGTAATGCTGTGAACATTTTTTGTGGAACTATGTTTCAACTCACTTCCGCAAATACCTATGGTGTGATTGCTGGATGGTATGCTGAGAGTTTATTTACTTTTGTAAGAAACTGAAAAACTGTCTTCAGAAGTTGCTGTACCATTTTATGTTTCTATCAATGAATGAGAGTTCCAGTTGCTCCACATCCTCAGCAGCATTTGATGTTATCAGTATTTTGGTACTTTTTTTTTTCCTTTAGCAGTACTGGGGGTTGAACCCAAGGCCTGATGCATGCTAGGCAACAACTGTACTACTGAGCTGTATTCCAAGCCCAGTGCTTTGGATTTTAACCATACTAACAGGTGTACACAGGTATCTATTTTAGTTTTAGTTGGACACAATACCTTTATTTTATTTATTTTTATGTGGTTCTGAGGATCAAACCCAGGGCCTTGCATGTGCTAGGCAAACTCTCTACTGCTGAGCCACAACCCTAGCCCCATAAGTATCAATTTTTAAACTATTTGAAATGATACACATTAACATCTTTAAGGATACCACATTCCTGAAATCACAAGATGTCCAAATTCTAGAGCGCTGTTTCCTAAATTATTAAAATGAAATAGTCATAGTTTAAGATGTAAAAACCACATCTGTGAATTTTCATAAACCAGTTTTCATTTTAATTTTTCCTCAAAAAATTAGAATGTGTAAGAACCGTGTGTTAAGGTAACAAAGAAAATAATATTCTACTCGCCCTTGGGAAGCTCTAGGGAAAATATTTTTGCAAAACAAAACTTTAAGGGGGCCTAAATGAAATTTATCATTAAGTAAAAAAAAATTAATTGTACATAGACACAATAACTTTATTTATTTATTTAATGCTGAGGATTGAACCCAGTGTCTCACACGTGCTAGGCAAGTGCTCTACCACTGAGCCACAATCCCAACTCCCTAATTTTTATTTTAGTTTGTAATTCCCTAATGACAAGTGGTCAATAATGAATCTTCTATGTGTTTATTCGTATATAGTCTGTATATGTTCTTTGTTGAGCGGTCTGTTCAGAGTTTTTGCCCATGCTTTAATTGCTTATTTTGTGTACTGGGAATTGAATCTGGGGTGTTCTACCACTGAACCACATTCCCAGCCCTGTTTTGTATTTTATTTAGAGACAGGGTCTCACTGAGTTGCTTAGTGCCTTACCTTTGCTGAGGCTGGCTTTGAATTTGCAATCCTCCTGCCTCAGTCTCCTGAGCCCCTGGGATTATAGGCTTGTGCCACTTCGCATAGCCAATATAACCTTTGTTATATTTTATTTTGAGAAGGGTTACACTACGCAAGTTCACTGTGTATTTTGGATACCAATCCTTTATCAAATATGTGTTTTGTAAATATTGTAAATATTGTCTTCCATTTTTGTAAATATTGTCTTTTCATTCTCTTGTCTTACTAATTTGTTGGCATAGTTGTCCATCATATTTTTAAATTTCTTAAATCACTGATGTATTTTATGTCTTCCTTTATATTGTTGTTTATTTGATGCTACTTCTCTTTTATCCAGACGAGTCTCACAGAATTTTGTTTTCTTTTTTAGTTTTTTTAAAAATCTAACTTTAGTTTTATTGTTCATTTCTAGTGCATCTTTTTCTATTTCATTAATTTATTTTTCAGGCTGTTGTCTTCTATTTGGACTTATTGTTTTGATTTTTTCTAATGTATTAAGCAGGTCACTTATCTGATTAATGTTTAATTATATAATTAATCTAATTGTTAATATTTCTATTTTCTAGTGTAAAGACATATAATGTTAATTTGCCTGTATCCTATACATTTTGATAGATGACATTTTTTATGTGGTTCCTGGGATCAAATCCAGGACCTCACACCTGCTAAGCAAGTGCTTTACTACTGAGCTACACATTGAATCTTAAATAATATATTTATTATCATAAAATCTAGTATCATAAGTTCCATTGGGATTTCTTCTTTGACCTTTTGGTTATGTAGAAGTTTTTAAAATTTCTAAATATGTGGAGTTTTAAAAAATAATCATATTATTGATTTCTAACTTAATTATAATATGGTCAAAGAAAGGATAGCATTTTTTTTCATTTTGCAATCTGTAGATAGTTGCTCAATGGATTAAATAAAAATTTTCTAAAGTCTTCCTTGTGTATTGGAAAAGTATTTTTTTTGTGTGTGTTTGTGTGATAGTTTTATACACATCCTTCAAAAATGTTAACTAATTGTATTGGAAACATTTCCACAATGACTGGTGATTCTCAAGATATTTTTTTTCTATTTAAGAGTGAGACAAGTTGGGTGTGGTGCATGCCTTAATTTCAGAGGCTCATGAGGCTGAGGCAGGAGGATCTCTAGTGCAAAGCCAGTCTCAGCAATTGAGAGAGGCCCTAAGCAATTCAGCGAGATGTTATCTCCAATTGAAATATAAAAAGGGCTGGGGATGTGACTCAGTGGTTAAGTGCCCCTGAGTTCAATCTTGGGTTAAAAAAAAAAAAAGAGTGAGGCTCTTAAAAGGCTTATTAAAAATGTTGTTTTCACACTTGGAGCTTGTTGACTGGGCCTTCAACATAAAAGTGATAGGTTATAAACCCAGTCAGCTTATTATCGGATCCACCCAAATGCCAATATTCTGACATTCTAATCTAATCTATTTCTGTTTTTTCTTTTTGCAGTACTGGGGATTGAACCCAGGGGTGTTCTACCACTGAGCTACATCCCTGGTCCTTTTTATTTTGTACTTTGAGATAAGAGTTCTCTAAGTTGCTGAGGCTGGCCTTGAATTTGTGATCCTTCTGTCTTGGCCTCCCCAAAAGCTGAGATTATGGGCAGGTGACACCATGCCCCTTTATTCCCATTTAAAAACCATTTGATTAAAGTATATATACCTTTAAAAAAAAGTTCCCATAAATGTGCAACCTGAACACACATGTCAGTCAGCATTCAGATTAAGAAACAGCACATTAACAGTACTTTAGGAGCATCCTCATGTGCCCTTACATAGTTTTCACTTTGGGATATTACAAAAAGTGTGGGTATTGAGGATTTTTTTTTTTTTGTACATGACCTCTTGAACTTATGGGTATAAAATTAGGAGTAAAATTCTTGGGACAAAAGCTATTCATATGTTCAGCTTTAGTTGACCTTTATTGCCAAACAGTTTAAGTAATTGTATCAATTTGTATTCTCTTCAAGAGAATAAGTTCTTTGATTGCTCCACAATCCTAACAATACTTGGGATTTTCTTTTTCTTTTTTGCCTGGGAGGTAAAGAGTGATATTACATTATGGTTTTCATTTGTATTTCCTATTTATAGAGTGCTTTTATATTTTTAGGTGTTTCAAGAAGAAACAGACAAAATGGAGTGAGTTAATCTTCTATATTTGCTAGAAATTTATTCCTTATGGCTATTTATCTAATGGGACTTGGAACCTTTTTCTCTGTATTGGAAGAAATATAATATAGACAATGAGGACAACACAGTTCACAATTATATGTGAGGCAGCTAATATGTACCATACTGAGAATTGATTCCTAGCTCCAACGTTTACTTGCTGAGATACCTTGAGAAAGTTATTGAACTTTCCTCCATTTTATGTAAAATGGCACTAATAATAGTGCCACCTCATGGAGATGAGGATTAAATGACATAAGATAAATAAAATGCTTTGTGAAATTCCTAGCATACTGAGCAAGTACAAGTCAACAAATGGCAGCTATTATTATATTTTGTATTGGTTATTTATACACATCTCATTTTTCCTTCTGCTTTACATAGTTCATGACAAAAGAACAGCTTATAGCACATATTAGTTGGCTCACATATAATAACTGCTACCAAAGACTGAATCAACGGGGCTGGGCTTGTGGCTCAGTGATAGAGTGCTCGCCTAGCACTTGTGAGGCACTGGGTTCGATCCTCAGCACCACATAAAAATGAAATAAAGATATTGTGTCCACCACCTACAACTAAAAAATAAATATTAAAAAAATACCGAATGAATGATTTAATATATAAATAGGTATTATGGTTATTGTTATAAAAGATGGTATAAATTATTAATGGCTATCAGATAATATGCACTGCTAATGAGGAATACATTATTTAAGTACACTGTCGCTGGGGCTGGGGCTGGGGCTGGGGCTTGGGGCTGAGTGGCAGGGCGCCTGCCTCGCACATGTGAGGCACTGGGTTCGATCCTCAGCACCACATAAAAATAAATAAATAAACAAAATAAAGATATTGCATCATTCATCTATAACTAAAAAATATTTTAAAAATAAATACACTGTCTCTCCTATTCACTTTCATCATTTAAAAAGTCAAAAAAAATTAATGTGGTAGAAAAACACTACCCAGGATAATAAAGAATGAAATGAAAATTAGATGTTTTACATTGCATCCTGTGAGAGTTCTCGACTTCTCTCTCCAAAACCAAAATGAAAAAAACTAAAATACCTTCCCAGAAACAAAAACACCACTTTCTTGAAAAGACATTCCTCCTTTCCAACTTTTCACAGTCATTTTTGTTCAACAGTGTAGAAGCTGAAGATACAACAGCTTCCGTACAAGATGGCGTCGCCCAGTCCCCGACTCCGACTGGGGTTACGTCTTCCCGGTCCGCAGTTGGACCGGAAATGGTTGCGGTCCTAGTGGATCCGGGTGGGTGAGCGCAGGCGGTCGCGAAGGTTCCAGCTTTTCAGGGAGAGATGAGGTGCCGCAGGTGTTCAGGCCCAGTCTGAGGCCGCAGGTGAGTGAAGCTGAGGGACTAGCGAAGTCTTCACTGTTCCTGTGTATCAGGCGGAGGGTTTTTTTTAGCGTCGACAGGAAGGGTGGTGTGGTGATGTTGGGGACATCACTGTGTGCGTGGGTGAGTGATTTGCGGGGAGCACGCTGTCCCCAAGCGAGTTGGTCCTGCCCCTCTCCCCGCCCTCGGGCGCGGCCTCCAGGTCTCCCCAACCCCTGGGCGGGGGCGGATCAGCATCCAGGTTCTCCGGGAGACTCAGGTCTCGGCCCTGACGCCCTCCCCATCGGCTCCTTCGATCCCTTCTTCCCTTTTGGGGAGGATCTTACAAGCCCTCGGGGCTCCCTGATCCAATCAGCTGAAAAGGAGGCCGTGGGGCCGCCCTGCCAACTCCTCGGCTGTATCCTCGCCTCCGCAGCTACAGCCCCTCCTAGAGTCGTGGGGACCAACCCCGCACCCATCACCTGGGGGACAGAGCCGAACGAGAACCTTCATAGTTATTTATTATAAAACTGACACCCGCACGTTTAAGTACAAACAAACCCAAGCCCTTAAACAAGGCTCCTTAATAAACCCACTTTACACCAGGAGTTGCAGCGGAAGGTCTTTGTTTTATTCTTTTTTGCTGTATGGTCGGTCGTTTTTGTGGTGCTGGGGATTGAACCCAGGGCCTCACAAATGCTAGGCAAGCGCCCTGCCGCTGAGCTACGTCCCCAGCTCCGAAAGGTTGTGTTCATTATCTGGATTAGAAAGAGGGGAGAAAAGCGGTTTAATAGTGGGGAGGAATGCTTAAATTTGGTCTCGTTTAAATTGTTCTAAAAAATGTATCTTTTAAGACATTCATTGTACTGTAAGCATTCAATCTTGTGCAAAAAAAAATCATGGAAAATTGTTGTCTATAGGTTTTTCTGTCTTTCTGTCCATACTGGGGATTGAACCCAGGGCACTTCACCACTGAGCTACATCCCCAACCTTTTTTTATTTTTTATTTTGAGACAGGGTCTCGACAAGTTGTTCATGCTCTTTGAACTTGCGATCTTCAAGTCTCAGCCTCCTCAGTAGCTGTTTTTTTTTTTTTTTCTGTAGCTATAGATGGACAGAATGCCTTTATTTTTATGTGGTGCTGCAGATCCAACCCATTGCCTCACGCTTGCTAGGCAAGCACTCTGCTACAGTCCCAGCCCCGGAAAAAAAAAAATTTAAACAAGACAGGTCCTCTCTCTATATTTTTTCTGTTTCTTTTTTTTTCTTTTCTTTTCTTTTTTCTTAGTTGTCGATGGACACAGTGCCTTTATTTTACTTATTTATTTTAATGTGGTGCTGAGGATCGAACCCAGTGCCTCACAAGTGCTAGGCAAGCACTCTGCCACTGAGCTACAACCCCAGTCCTATTTTTTGTTATCTTTTTTTCTTTACTAGCCCTTTACCCAAAAGTAAGAACTGTTATCACTTTGCGTTGTATTTTTTTAAATTTCTTTTTCTTTATGTTTATTGACTAGTGTGTGTACAGGTAAGATATATATTTGTAAGATTTCGTGTTAAATCTTTTACAAATGTGTATTTTTTTTCACAAATATAGCATATTGTCCCTATTCTGCAACTTGATGTTTTGTGCCTAAGAATGGTTCTTGAGGGCTGGGGTTATGGCTCAGTGGTAGAGAGCTTTGCCTAGTATGTGTGAGGCACTGGGTTTAATTCTCAGCACCGCATATAAATAATAATTTTTTTTAAAAAAAGGACCATTGATAACTAAAAAAATTTTTTTAAAAAATGGGTCTTAAAATACTTCTTGTCACTATAGAGATCAATCTATTCATTAAAAAAAACTTTCTTTAGTTGTTGATAGACCTTTATTTTACTTATTTATTTATATGCAGTTCTGAGAATTGAACCTAGTACCTCACAAACATTCCAGGCAAGTGTGCTACTGCTGAGCCCCAGCTCCAGCCCCTCAACCTATTCATTCTTTTTGCTAAGTTCCATAGTACTTTAACATTGCAGAGTGTGTGAAATTCCGTAGGTTGTTTCCAGTTTTTCACTGTTGGACCCATGGTGTGCAAAGAATATCAGTCCACATGTCTCTGTGTGCCCAGATGAGCATTTCTCAAGGATAGTTTCACTTAGATGGAATTGCTGGATAGGAAGGGGTGGATGTTTAATAATGCCAAACTACCTACCATAGTGTATAGTAATACCAATTTCACACAGGCTTTTTTAAATATTTGATGTCTTTTTTTTTTTGCCATCTGATGGATGCAAAATGATCTTTATTGCTATTGTAGTTTGTATTCCCCTAATTCCTGTTGAGTTTCAGAATCTTTTCACAGTCAGCCCTTTATAATTCCTCTCTTGAGAAATTTTTTTCTGGTGGATTGACTTTTTCTTGATGTACTGGATTTTAATCTTTTGTCATTTATATGTGTTTTAAATATTTACTCCCAACTTAATACTTTTAAAAGTTGTTCCTTGTCCCTTAACTTTAAGGCATCCTGTTGAAACAAAGCTTTGCATTTAATGTTTACGTGAACCAGTCTTTTCTGTGTGTGTTTGTGCTTTGTGGCTATCCTTCCTTCCTTCCTTTCTTTCTTTCTTTCTTTCTTTCTTTCTTTCTTTCTTTCTTTCTTTTTCTTTCTTTCTTTCTTTTTTAAGTTAAGGATGTATATTTTTTTATTTTATTTTATATTATTTTATTTTAGGTGTAGATGTAGC